TCGCAAGACGTATTTGTACCATTGTTTTCGGGAATGATGTTAAAACTACCCAACCTTGCTGAACTTAAGAGTTTCCTACTGCATCAAAATTATCCAGCAAAGCTAACTGAAGATAGCATACAGAAGGCGCTAAGTATTGAGCAACTAAAACTGAGAGAAAAGTCTGAAGAAAACAATATAATGGGGAATAATTTACCTGTAGTATCTACCTTCAACCCTGATCATGAAAAAACATTATCCATGGTTCAACGATACCTGCCTATTTTGAATCAAAGTATTAAAATGGAAAAGATATTGAGCCAATACAAAATTATCAACAGCCAAAGACAATCCAAAACTCTTAGACAGTTTTTGACAAGTTCTAGATTTGATTCTGTTGTCATCTCACCACAGGTTTCTAAGCGCGGTGACAAACGTTGCCTAACTTGCAGCAATATATTTGAAGGCTGTTCAGTCCAAATTACAAAGGACACTAAATTTATTGTAAAACAAAATATGACTTGTGATGCTAGAAATGTTATTTACTTGATTGTTTGTAGTAGATGCAATGAAAAGTATTTTGGAAAGACAGAACTTAAATTAAAAAGAAGAATGAATCTTCACCGTTCACAAATAAAGCAGCCACACAACCACACGATTCCACTCAGTGAATGATTTAGATACATGTGGAAGCGGCAACTTTTAAGTTTTCCCGCTATATAAGCCAAATTTTGATCATGAACCTACATTGTTTCAAAAAGAGCAACATTTCATTCATAAATATGCGCCAAAGTTAAATGTAAAGGCGTAAGTTATTTGTTCATTGTCACCTTGGTATTGTGACGTCATAGTTCGCCTGTGTTCAATCTTACTCCACTTATTTAATTATTACTATATGGTGCCTGAGAGTTAGAACTTTACTGTGCTTTTTCTATATATATACTTATGTTAATGTTACATAACATAAATTACCTTATGAGTGAATGTATTGAAAATGACAAATAAAAACCAAAGACATACCACAGTGTATAAGATTGTTCACCGCTTAATAAGGTGTCGGTACGGCAGGATAAAGTTACTCCCCTCAAGTTTCTCTTCAGATAGATTCTGAAGGACAGATTCAATCTAGAGTGACCTGATCAAATCACTCTTCCCAGGAAAGAATGCAAACTACACATTTATATATTTGGAAATAATATAATTCCAAATGGGTAAACATGTCACATTAACTATCAACAGGGTTGTTACTATTGTATCGTGTGTGAATGTGGTGTAGGTCTCAGTGGTATTCACATGCTGACGAATCATGATGTTTTCTCATATGAAATGCATTAATTTTAAGTTCTAATTTTCAAACTAGCCGCACATGACTGTTGCAATCCCCTACAGGAAAGGAAAACCATGAGTCTCATGTTTGTTCAGTGAAGTTGTAATCATTCATATTTCGTTTTGGCAAATCCATATTCATCATATAGATGTCCAATCAAAGTACAATAAAGTAACATTCTTTATACATAAAAGTATATATATAAACAACATAGCCGACGCAGTGTAAATTGTAATTAAGGGCTAATTAAGGCATCACACATATTTGGTAATTTCAATCCAGCCCACTTTCATCTTGTTACCTTTAGCCAGTTCACGCTGAAGATCCTATCAGCACAAGTTAATTTACATACAGATAGACATTAATTATAGCTGTTTACCTCCACGAGATGAAATCTAAGGTTGATAAAAAGTGTAAAGCATGACTAAACATGTTGCAAGTTGCAGCTGGGCACACGTCAGAATAGTGTGGCCCAAACGCTGCATGTTTCTTAATCTCTCATCAGCAGCTTGTGGGCCCAATATCAACAAACACTGACAGATTAGTCAGAATGATGGCATTAAGAAATCGGTTGCAAACTGCTGCTCATATAAGGGACCAGGAGTACATGCCCACACAGTCCGCGTGTCATCCCCCAACTTACTGCACGTCCTATGAATGAGAGGCATCAGCGGAGTATGGCACCGCAGCACTGGGATAATTGACGTTGGGCAAACGAATCGACGTTCACTCTCGTCTTCCATGACCGACGGAAACGAGTTAGGAGACGTCCCAATAAGCGTCTTATGGACCTTAACGTCGTACATCATGACCTTTTTGGGGATGGGTCAAAAATGGTATAGCGTGGCATCACAATGACTGGCCGAACTGCACTCCATATTGCCCATGGCAGAGTCACAGGTCAGTACTATCGGGATAACACCATTGCACAACTCGTCCCACAGCAAAACATCCATGCCATGCCATGGCCAGCACTGTCCTGACTTTTCCTCCATTGTACACGTCTGGGGCGTCATTGGCAGACGTGTACATCAACGTCAAAATCTACCGACTACTCTCTATGAACTCGAAGTTGCTTTCACTGACGTTGGTCGACTCATCGGAAGCATACCTCGAAGAATTCGTGCATGTCTGGCCAACAGAGGTGGTTTTACCCGATATCAGTGACGTAGACGATATGTCGGATCATAATATATGTCTTGATGATTCCCACTATCCCGTACTGTTTTGGCATAGTATACAATAAACACTCGTGTCCAAGGTCTTTAAAGATCTTAACCCGGGTTCCTAAGTCACAACCATCAACATCATGACTTACCATTCCAGGACTTTGAACCTTACTTCAGAACCATCTATGCCCAAGTAGTCGAAAGGTACCTGGCTGACAATGCCCTATTTCTGACAGTTCTGATGCTTTTTCCAAACCTTATTACTCTCATCATGATAAGCGATATTCCCGTTGGCCCGAGCCCCACTAATGCCCTCACCTTGGCTTTTACGAGTAAAGGTTGGGGCTGTTATATAAGAAATGGGAAAATATTAAAAACAAACAGATTTGATAGAGCTTTCAAGTTAGGATATTTTCTATATTAAATCTTGACGCATAAATGAAGTATTTAAACTCTAAATATATAGCCAATTTAAAGGTTTCAATAAGTAATTATTTAGGGAAGGGCGCCATCGCTAATACAGTATTCTGAAAGTATAAGGGGGGTGTTTTCATCCTAGGGAGTGTTTCATCCTGCAGAGGAGGAGTATTATGATCCTAATGGGAGTGGGCTGATTCTCCTACACAGGGCGAAGAATGTATTCACCAATGTTTGATGGGGGCTAATAATGAATCAATCAAGAAATGGTTATTCGATGGTGATGTATTTGAGGGGATCACAGGCATCGTTTGGACTTTAAGCTTGAAGTATTTCAGCGACTGTTTTCAGCCCCAACGTTCTTTATAACGAATCCAATGTTTTTTGTCAAATCCAATTATCAGGTGCCTGGCAGTATATTTCCAACATGTCCAGGCGGTTTACTATCATTTCAAAAGTAAAAAAATATCTACAGTACAGTATTTAATTTGCTAAAATGTTAGGAAATTCAGGTTTCCTTTGCAAGATTTCGCTACTGTTCACATGATCTATTTATTGCAACTGGACACAACGTGGTTATTATAAGAAAAGAACGCATTTGTCAAATGTGCGCCCTGAATGAGAGAATGAGAGTGAATGTAAATGTATACTTTGAGATGTACATGTATATTGATCATGCAATGAAATTCAGGAAATAAATTCTACTACTCTGAATGTACTAATAATATATATACTATAGGCATATGATAGTGGCCTCCCCTGTATGGAAATAAAATAGATACCACCTAAATGAGGATCGTATGGCATGGAGAGTTTTTGACCACCCTTGTTTGGTCCCGTTACATACCATTTGTGATACTTTTGCAACAAATGGAAACAGAAAATAACACAAAAAGTACAACATTGATTCCACTTCTGAACACAAAATAAAATTCGATTAAGGTGAGGTGAGGTGAAATGGGGTTTAACGTCGCGTCCAAGATTATTGCACTTATATAGCGACGTGCATGTGTTTGTGTGGCTGCTTGTACTAGGCCGGACTGATGCCGATTTATAGTGCTAGCTCACTGAGATACCATGCCGCAGTTTTTTAACATGAATACCCCACTCAGACACAGTATTCTGACTCCGAACCAACCAGTCCTTGTTTTAGCCCCTTAATGCCGAGCGCCAGACAGGGTAACAACAAGTACGATCTCTTAACGTCTTTTGGCATGACGCGGCCGGGGATCGAACCCCGGACCTTCCGCTCTCCGGGAGGACGCTCTACCCCTAGACCACGGAGGCGGTCAAATTCGATTAAGAAATATTCACAGTGTCAGTGTCTGCAATATATACAATATGTTAATTTACCCAGGACTTTTCGTTTAATCTTTGGATAAGACAATCACATATGAGAGAAAGTAATAGGTTTTTTATGCTGTTAATAATAGGGCCACGGCTAACCCTTTCATTCCTACGACTCAACTAGGCAACTGGTAATTGCCGACCGAGAGGACTGTCAATAAGTGAGTGAGTGAGTGAGTATGGTTTTACGCCGCTTTTAGCAATATTCCAGCAATATCACGGCGGGGGACACCAGAAATGGGCTTCACACATTGTACCCATGTCGGGAATCGAACCCGGGTCTTCGGCGTGACGAGCGAACGCTTTAACCACTAGGCTACCCGACAGCCCCTTAAGGACTGTCAGTATTGTCGTCTCTCTGTCTACCGGCTTTCGTTTCATCTTTGGATAAGACAATCGCATATGAAAAAAGTATTACGCTTCTTTATGCTGTTAATGGGGCCACTGCTCACCCTTTCATTCCTACGACTCAGACTGATAAGTAGTTATCGGCTTTCTGTCTACCGGGTCACGGCAGAGGGTGTTTGGACATTCAGGCTGCCAGGATTGACGTTGATGGGTTAGTTATCAGGTCAACACCCATTCTCAGTATATGACAACAATGTTTTTTAGATCTTTTAGATATAAACATTCTTATGTGTTTGACGAAAAGATCATCCATATTCAATAATAAAAATTCTGTACCAATGACATTTTTTGATCCAATGTACTTGCCACTACACCTAAAACTTCTCAACTTCTTCAAGAACATTATCACCTACCTCCGCCATTCCTGCTGCAGATGTAGGGAAATCTCCAGATGTTGGCCAGAGAAACACAGTAGCCTATTACTGACAACATATAATCCGTCTTCCTAGCCCACTTTGGCCTTCCTTTCGCCGCCACCTGCCTCTCCATCTCCTCATTCCCAACATCACCCTGCTTCTCCTCCTCCTCCTCTTCTTCTTCCTCTTCCTCTTCCTTACCGGTTCCCTGATGGTTGTCCTTCATGATCAGGCTCTGTTGTCGCATGTGCGCAGTCCTTAATGTGTTTGTTGAAGCAGTTTCGATCTGACGCATATGCAAAACATAAAGTTCCTTTCTGTATTAGATCAATGCGCATACATTCTGCAACCGAATGTGATCAGCTGTGCATCCTCACAAACAATGCGTACACCAGTAACACGTGTTCATGTAGTCATTGCTGATCTTAGCTCACCTGACAAACTAACTGTGTGTGTGTCAGGAGTTAATGTCATGGTCTGTCGTCACTCGTCAATGGCTTCATCTAAAGACCAATAGACCAGTTGGACTTTTCACTTCCACCTGGCATATTAGCCCTCAAAATGCAATCTTAACTCTGAAAACGCCCTTTCCTCTGAAACTGGTGAGGCTGATGTTCGGCAATAAAATGATTAGGACATTGAGATCATACTGTTGTGACATACTAAATTCACAGGGAATCGGTGAAAAAGTATTTCATCTGCGTGGGTGGAATTATACCACATGGAACGGACAAAGTCTGGACATTCGGTAGCAAGGAACTGTCCAGATAAAAGAGCACCCCAGTGCCACATACCAGTGAGGTACTGTAAAATTAACGTGAGCGTCAATAAAATGCGAGAAATGCGAGTGGCCTTTGTACGCATTAATTTCAAGATTTACAGCGTATCACACGAGAGAGTTAACACAGTGACAGGCGAGTGTGTGGGATGTTGCAGGCCAGGGTAGTAACTCCTTTACATTGTTCTGAGTGAGATACTGTAACACAACTCCAGCAACAAGTAGGTCTGGCGTCACCGTTCTGCAATGTCACCTCAGAGCCATTCTGTTGCCACAACGGCAGGGCGGCCGTTTCCAAAATCTCATCTTGGTATCTTGCTGCATTCAAATTCCCATCAATCAAAATTATTTGAGTAATTATATGGGGTTTACGTTTTAAAATAACTGTATTATTGCAATAGAAAAATGTACTGCAGATATAGTATTATATCTTCTTTGAAGGCATATACGGACTCTGAGTGGTGTAAAGTTAACAGTTATTCCTGTGTATTCTAAAGTGTTATTCAATGTTAAATTCATTGTTGCAGACTAATAAGATATATTGTTGAGACTTCGCGCTTGTTTCTCTGACGACGAGTGGGCACGGGTGGCCCCTTCGTCTAAGGCGCCGCGATTCGCTGTGCAAAGTTGCGTCCCTTGGGCACGCCAGAAACATATGATTGTGGGTTCGAATCCCGGGTCGCCCCGATTATGTTTCTAGGTTTGTCAGCACCATACCTGTGCTCGTGGGTTTCACCAAAGTGGTAAACGTCTGAGACCTGCATCACTTCGGGCTTTCCTCCCACATTAAGCTGACACGCCATGATATAACTGGAATACTGTTAAAAGCGGCGTTAAACCTAACTCACTCACTCACTCTGACGACGAGTGCTTTTTCGCAGTTGGCGATTTATATGAGCGGCCATCGTTTCCGGGAGGTTAGTGTGTGTTCTGGTGTCAATTGTGAGTTGTATCGTAACATAATACCTATGTGACAGGTCAAAGTTGTTGGAAAACGAGTAAATATCTGTCTGTCTAAATGTCCATCAACGCAAGTGCCGAGGCACGTGTTCGTGTCGGGATGTGTTGCATAGTGGAGAATGTAGTACCGTACTGATCAAAAGTGATCTACGATCTTGCGTCGTTTTGTTCAGACGCCGCAAGGTGGAATTGCCGCAAGGTTTTTTCACTAAGTTGGGGGTGCATATCCTACACCACGAGATCTGTCTTGGTTGTGGTTCAGGGAAATGTGACAGCAAGTCGCTACAAATTCTTCAACCTCCCCTTCTTCCATCATTGACCGCCAGAGGGAGTTGTTTCAACAGGACAACGCTCCACCGCACACAGCTCGTGTCACGGTAGACTACCTACATAATGCCAACATCAACGACTTGCTCTGGCCGTCGAGATCTCCAGATCTCAACCCAAACGCCTCTGGGATGAACTCGACCGACGTGTACGTCAACGTCAGAACACGCTGCAGACACTCCCACAACTGGCCAACACGCGTACGTTACAAGCATGGCGCAGAATTCATCAGGACAGAATTCTTTCACTTATCCAGTCAGTGCCGAGGGGATGCAGAGCCGTGATTGCTTGCTGCCCGGGGCGGTCACACGAGACACTGAGTTCAGCGCAACCTCGTGGCCTTCTGTGACATGACAATGAACAGTTTTCAATGCCTTTTCACAACGACATCATGTTACTATCGAGTTCCAAAATTTCATATTTGTATCTGATATTAAATTAAATATATCGGCTTTATTAGGTAATTTACTAAAAATCTACATGTGCATTTCTTTTTTTGAAGAGTGTACATGATAGTTGTCACCTAGTAGTTAGTCATTTTCATGATTTCAGGCCTTTGTGTTATTGCTCCTACTTACGATCCCTAACTCGGGCATTCATCACAGACCTTTAAAAGGGACACCTGAACATGAATGCTATGACGGAATTCTATTTTAGTCTGAAATAATGTTATATTTATATTTGGACCCTGTAGGAACAGTGTCCGTATTGACTATACTATCATCCGTAGCCAGCGCGAACTGTTGTCCTTTCTCCAACAGCCTGATTGACTCATGTATCTGTCTGTTATAGTAGGTTTATTCACTCGCCTGAAAAAGAGACATAAAAGATTGAAGTAAATAATGCAATTCATATTTTTATTAAATATGTGTTCACCTCAATACACAATAGGAATTAGTTTGAACAATGATAAGATATCGTTTTAAGAAAAATGAAAAACACCAAAATCATATCCGATCAGCAGATAACTATCAATTCGTAATCGTCTTTTTAATTATTGTAAGAGTCAAATGCCTTTTTATAATATAAAGGCATTTCTGTTTATCTCAAATCTCAAAGAGCGTCATACGACTCTTGCTCAAAAGATGTTGGATCAAGGCCATTCAACATTCAAGACCTAAGCAAAGCTTACAAAGCGTTATATGGTAGACATGTGGAGGACATTTCCAATTATGACGGATCAGTCATTCCCTATTTTGACTTGTACCATATGTTCCTGCATTTTTTCAGGCGAACAATTGACTTGCCTTTGCGTGTGTTTGGGGTGGGTGCCTCCGATGGGGCGCGATACGTTCATCTGGTCACGAACATCTGAAACCTCATACATTGACACTCACTGACTCAGACAAAACCACGTGACACGCTTCAACGGTTAGTGTGATAAACACATTATTCACCATATGAAAACAAACACATTTGATGAGGTTACTTTTTTATGAACAAAATCATATGTTAATGTCAACAAGGTCAAATTTCAAGTGAATGTAAATAAGATTATGGAAAAATATAACTGTCTCATATTTAATTTTAGTTATGGCAGTACCAAACACACGATGACAGAACAAGGTTTACAGCAGCTTGACAAATAAACTGAATACAACTAATGTGTTACTCGGAGCTGCAACAAGACGTTTTAAATGTAGTACCATCTAAACATAATGTTATGTCATATTCTAGTTTTAATTGTGTACACTATTGACTTACAATTTTGCCATCATGATAGGTTTAATGAGTTGCAAAACCGCTGACCATTAATAAAATGTATGAAAGTCTTGTCAGTTTGTAACAGTTGTGTAGTAGGCGAGTTGGCGAGTTGACTCAACCCATGCTAGGCGCATATTATCTAATATCTGAACATTCATGTTTTAGTTTTACTATAGTAGGAAAGAGATGAACACATTTTAACATAGTAGAATTGAAATGCACATTTTGCCATAGTAGGATTGACATACACATTTTACCATTGTGGAATGGAAATGCACATTTTGCCATAGTAGGATTGACATACACATTCTACCATTGTGGAATGGAAATACACACTTTGCCATAGTAGGATTGACATACACATTTTACCATAGCAGAACGGACATGCACATTTTACCATTGTGGAATGGAAATGCACACTTTGCCATAGTAGGATTGACATACACATTTTACCATAGCAGAACGGACATACACATTTTACCATTGTGGAAAGGAAATGCACACTTTGCCATAGTAGGATTGACATACACATTTTACCATAGCAGAACGGACATGCACATTTTACCATTGTGGAATGGAAATGCACACTTTGCCATAGTAGGATTGACATACACATTTTACCATAGCAGAACGGACATACACATTTTACCATTGTGGAATGGAAATGCACACTTTGCCATAGTAGGATTGACATACACATTTTACCATAGCAGAACGGACATGCACATTTTACCATTGTGGAATGGAAATGCACACTTTGCCATAGTAGGATTGACATACGCATTTTACCATAGCAGAACGGACATGCACATTTTACCATTGTGGAATGGAAATGCACACTTTGCCATAGTAGGATTGACATACACATTTTACCATAGCAGAACGGACATGCACATTTTACCATTGTGGAATGGAAATGCACACTTTGCCATAGTAGGATTGACATACACATTTTACCGTAGCAGAACGGACATGCACATTTTACCATTGCGGAATGGAAATGCACACTTTGCCATAGTAGGATTGACATACACATTTTACCATAGCAGAACGGACATACACATTTTACCATTGTGGAATGGAAATGCACATTTTGCCATAGTAGGATTGACATACACATTTTACCATTGTGGAATCGAAATGCACACTTTGCCATAGTAGGATTGACATACACATTTTACCATAGCAAAACGGACATGCACATTTTACCATTGTGGAATGGAAATGCACATTTTGCCATAACAGAATGGACATACACATTTTGCCATAGCAGAATGGACATACACATTTTGCCATAACAGAATGGACATACACATTTTGCCATAATAGAATGGACATACACATTTTGCCAGGCCGAAACCATGACACCGCAACAGGATCGCCTCAATAGATTAATACCCAACACAACCCATTCACATCTGCCCAAGAAATCAAGCGTGAGTTTCGTACCATTACTGGAAGATTAATTTCAACATTAACAGTAAAAAATAGGCTCTGGAAGCCGATGGCATCGAAGGGGCAAGTCGCACATGGATGTCAAAGTTTCATCTGTACCTCGCCATGCCATCTCGATCACATTCAATCTAAGACTTTGTACTGGAGTCTTCCACAGGTGGTAATTGACAGTCATGTCCGCTTAACATGTCATAAACGGTGCGACACAGTGTTGTGCTGTTTCCACATCATCATTGTCTTTACGAGTATGAGGGTCCCAGGTGAGTGAGTGAGTTGGGTTTAACGCCGCTTTTAACAGTGTTCCAGTTACATCACGGCGTGTCAGCTTAATGTGGGTGGAAAGCCCGAAGTGATGCAGGTTTCAGACGTTTACCACTTTGGTGAAACCCACGAGCACAGGTATGGTGCTGACAAACCTAGAAACATAATTGGGGAGAACCGGGATTCGAACCCACAATCATATGTTTCTGGTATGCCCAAGGGACGCAACTCTTCACAGCGAATCGGGGCGCCTTAGACGACTGGGCCACCCGTTCCCCCGGTCCCAGGTGAGGACTCCATAATCCAAGATGGACGGAACAGATGGCGACGTAGGCGGTAAGCTTACACTATTTCTAAACAGTGTGTGGAGTTTCTCTGCAGAAAACACATGGTGTAGTTTGCTTTCCTGCTTGCCTTGACTGTATGTTGCATCGACCGTAAGTCCCCCCCCAAAGCTGGATAGAGGTTTCATTGGTTTGTTTGTTGTTTAACGCCGCACTCAGCAATTTTCCAGCTATATGACGGCGGTCTGTAAATAATCGAGTCTGGACCAGACAATCCAGTGACTGACATCATGAGCATCGATCCACGCAATTGGGATCGATGACATGCATCAACTAAGTCAGCGAGTCTGACCACCCGATCCCGTTAGTCGCCTCATACGACAAGCATACTCGCTTTTTACGGCAAACATGGGTTGCTTAAGACCTATTCTACCCTGGATCTTCACGGGTCGTGAGAAGAAGTAGAAAGTAAAAGCAAGGTCATCCAGTGACAACACTGTCCTGTGTGTGTGTGTATTTGTGTGTGTGTGTGTATTTGTGGTGTGTGTGTATTTGTGTGTGTATGTGGTGTGTGTGTGTGTGTGTGTGTGTGTGTGTGTGTGTGTGTGTGTGTGTGTGTGTGTGTGTGTGTGTGGTGTGTGTGTGGTGTGTGTGTGGTGTGTGTATTTGTTGTGTGTGTGGTGTGTGTGTATTTGTGTGTGTGTGTGTGTGTGTTGAGGAGCAGTGTCAGCCATCATTGATTTAATTTCTCGATGTCCTTCATCAACCTTTTGCTTGTTTCATCTGACACATGTAAACCTATGCCAGTGATCACTGACAACTTCACTGATCCATTCTTAGGGGCATACACAGCGAACTGAGGAGTGAACTCTTCCACGTCCCCGTTCCCCTCCACACTGGTTATCTCCCACTTCTTTGTGACGTCATAAACGGTCAGCCTCTGTCTGACGGTGTCCAGTAGAAACCCTAGTTCAATGGCCGGCCACTTCCCACGTCGGTTCTGTGTCAGGAACCCGTGATATACGAGTGATGCATACCTGGCTGTAGAAAGACAAACACCTTGGTGACGAACACATCGATATGCACGGATGCTGACAACACTACCGGCAGCGTGTCCTTCATGGCTGTCATCAAATACGCCATCTCTAGAGAGAGCCACCTCAAACACCGAATCCCGCCCGTCCAGTTCCTTCTCCAGGTCTACGTCCAGCTTGTTCTCCCAGTAGTACACGCCTCCTGCCGTCAGTGTCCGCGTCCCCGCAGCTCCTCTGTACGTCTTGAGTCTGGTGTCAGATGGTGAGTGAGGCTGAAGAGGAGGTTGGTTAGACAGACTTCCGTCAGGCAGGATACGGCAGTCTTCCGAAACAGTCTTGGCATCATACTGGAAGTAAGGACCTGGAGAAAGTAGAAACAAATACTATATACCTAGTGACAGATCCTACAATTTAACATGTTGATTGAATTGTTTAAGAAAAGTTTAGATCTATAAAAAGCCATTATATATACGAAATATCGTTTGAACTTATTTGTTTCTTAGTTGTTACATGTTTTCCAAAGCATATTCTACGGAAATGGCCAAGTAATATGTGTTGTTCATCCTCTAAAGATTAGAAAGACTTATGTGAACTCTGTATCGATGTTTGCTACAATAAAGACACTTAAAATTCATCCGTGGTATCAACTAATAATTTGATAAATTTTCTGAAGTGAACATGTTCAAGGGATCTCTGAAACTAAGAAGCCCCCAGGGATGAATATTAATACAAATTGATAGTTGACTTTAATTTTAGTAATTTTTCTCCTGAAAATGCGTTAGCATAAAAGAAGCTCCCATAATCAAAGCTGAACATTTGATCACATAGTTGAAATTCAACGTAACATCGGAAAACATGAACGTCACTAATTCATCAGTTTGTAATCAACTTCCCAAATGGGATAATCTATAAAGGCTACACACAGATTGTAAGTTATCATGGCTGTATTGAAGAGGATCAATAAAGCGACTTAAGTTAAGGCATGGTTTAAACCAACTTCGATTTGTTACAGTCAATATCTATAATCAGGCAATATGTATTTTGACTGATCACTCAGGCAATGTGCATATGACTGATCTTTTCAATCAATATACATATTGCCTGAATTGAGCGAGTGAGTTAGAATTTAACGTGACATTGGAAATATTTCAGCCATATCATGACCAGAACTTAGACATAATAAATATGGAGTATAAACCTGTCAGCGATAGGCAGTATAATAGCTGGGGTATCACAGTTTCGATTTTAGAACTAGTTGAGAACATTTAAAAGAATACATTTTCATTCAACAATACAATATAAAAATGGGCTAAAGATCACCAGCAACTAAAGTTAGGCAACCTAACTTGGGACCGTGGGGACTTACAATACTTCTGTTACCTGCACGGTTCCCCAGCAGGATTTACACCATCCCTTCAGTTGCTGGTGATGGTACGCAATTAAGCCAACAGTAAAAACAAACAAACATACTACGTTTACAACTGAGGTATGAAAAAATGTATTTTGAATGATGTGGTCTTACATATCCTCTCAGGTGGACAATAGTTTTACGCTACTTCAACCCCTTTGCGGATACAGCCACTAGCAATCTAAGTTACAAAGTATACATTACCAATATTAAATATAGCCATCTATAAATCTACAAAATTCAAAATTTATCATTTATAATTTCTTTTAAAAAACCTATAATTAAATGAGAATTGATACTATTAAAAAGATCCGTTATTGATGATGATTTGACATATTTATCCCTTGTGGTGGAAAAATCGACACAGTCAAGCAGGATATGCTTGACGTGATTCTCTCATCACCAGGGATACAAAACGGAGGAATCCTCATCTTTCAATAATTACTAGTATGACCTCTAAAGTTCTGGATTGACAACCTAAGTAAGTGTAGCCACATATTGCCTGAAATCTTCAGCCAATATACATATTGCCTTAAAGGTGAGACTGGATTTAGACAGATTGACTGAAATGAAGTAGACTCCTTAATTTAATCATGTCATATTAATTTTGATCTATTTTGATCTTACGGTGATCAAAGTAACTGATGAATTGATTGGTTCTTCAAACATAAAACAATACTAGAGCCCATTTTTATGTTACTTATCTTTATTAGCATAACATGTGGTTGTGAACAAATATATGACTAAGAGTACAGACATTATAGTAAAGGAAAGTAAGCAGGCACCTCTATGTCAATATTTACAACCACTTACATCTGACAATACTGTGGATGTTGATCTCTGTTGCTTGAGGTAGTATTGCCAGTGATGGATGCATTTCTGCAACAATAGATTGTTACATATTCATATCGGTTAGCTGGAGGGGTGAAGTATCTCCCATAGCTAGGAAAGGGTTAACGCCATCTTTTTACGTCTTTTGGTATGACGTGGCCGGGGATCGAACCCCCTTCCGCTCTCGGGGCGGACGCTCTACCTCTAGACCACGGAGGCGGTCCCACTCGAAGAAGAATAGTATGTAACATCTGAGGATGAGTCAACAAGCTTGCCAGTTGTATCAGGTCATCAAAGTATACAGGCAATACGTACTGAAAGTGTTCTTGAAATGGTGAACACTGTTGAACACTGTTGAATGAATGTCTGAAGGCTCTTAATTGCTACATAGAACATTACTTTTACACATATGGCACGTACATGCATGTTTTATGTCCTACCTTTAAGGCTGAAGGCACGACATGGTTAACTGATTGCTAATACATCTGTTTTATTGGATAATCGAGACTGGTTATTCTTTGGCGTTGGCGTTTTATGCTGACATATACATGATACACGGGAATGTATTGTGATCATCATTCACATGCACGTACATGCATGTTCTAAGTCCTACCCTTTAGGAAGTTGTCCTTGTCCTCCTGTGATCTGAGCTGTGTGATGTCAGTCTCCCTCAGGTGTCCCACAGTAGACATCAGCTCATTTATCTTCTCCACCTGACTGCCATAGTCTACAAATCCATAGTAGGACCCACCCCGTTGTTCTTTCAATAATGATGCATAGTCATCAAGCTTACCAATGAAATGTTTCAGATTTTGGGTGTTATTCTTAAAATCAGCCTCCATCAAACGAACTATATCATCAGCAGTATTCCTCTGTTGGAGAAGAGTTGTTTGTCGGTTGGCTATTTGTGTGCGAATTTCCTCTAACCTTTTCGCCTTTTGCTTTTCTAACTGGTCAAATAACTGTTTTGAAATAAGTGTGAATGCATTGTTTACTTCAGTCTCCAAAGATTTCCCTTCTAATTCTAACTTTCGTTTGTCCTGTTTATAGTCTTGAACACATTGTAAGTACATTTGCTTCTCATCCCTTGCTGTTCGCACCGTGTCCTCCATGTCCGGCTCTCCCACCTAAAGACACATTCAATACAGATTTGTTTCAAATAGTACATTTGAAGGTCCCATAAATGATATTCGATACAGTTAAACAGTAAATCCTTATATAAGAACGTTGATATTCGCATCGTGTATTTCAAGCAGACACATGTCCGTGTATGGGGATGTCATATTACAAGGGACTCTTAAAGATTCCGGGGTAGAATAGGTCTTAAGCAACCCATGCTTGCTGTAAAAGGCGACTAACGGGATCGGGTGGTCAGGCTCGCTGACTTGGTTGATGCATGTCATCGTATCCCAATTGGGTGGATCGATGCTCATGATGTCAGTCACTGAATTGACTCGAATATTTACAGACCGCCGTCATATAGCTGGAATATTGCTGAGTGCGGTGTAAAACAATAAACCAACCAACCAACCACATTTCAAGGCCGTAAATTATATGTGTTGAGATCACCACCCATGTCAGTTATCACAATATATGCAAACACTTGAGTGTAGATGTCCAGATCCATATCTATTACTCCTAATGTTGTGTAGATTTGTACAACATAAGGCTGTTTCATATTTCTTTTAAAATGGTAAATATTAGATTATTGCTATTGATAGTGAATTGCAGTTTACTTACCTCGGTTTCGGGCGTTGATCTGTCTGAAATGTCAAATTATCTTAAATATATAGGTCACTTGTACTCATTCCAGAACGCAGTGAAAATGAACAGAATGACCCGTGACTGTTTCAAGTAACAGGGTTACTCTAATAGCTATTTACAATTTTGGTAATTTTGCACATAATTGAAAGTTTGAATTTTCGGCTTCCTTTTTGCTTTTTTTGTGTGTTTCTTTCCAATTGAAACATGTATGATAAGGTTACATATAGATGACAACAAGATGACAGGGTCAGTAATGTCTCTCCTTACACCCGTATTTGTTATATTTCTTCTGCTCTTTATGGCTACTTGGATGTTTGTATCACATCTCTATGTTGTCGTGAGACAAAGCAACTCAAACTCCTTTTTGAACCACTTTTGTTAGTTTGCCAGTGGTGCCAGGATACGCTCACCTTTTTTCAAACACATGGTAACATCACAGTAGTGCTTGTGATAAACTCGGATTTTTTGTATTATGGATGGGCTTTATTTACAAGCACTATATCTCCATGTTAATTAATGGATACTGGTCGCTTTATGGCTGAAATATTGCCGATGCGACGTTAAATTGTAACTTACTAATGGATACTGCATAAAAGCAACATGTTTTTTGTTCAGATGCCTAAATCAGTTTCGAGACCAGTTTATGTTCATTAGTTGCTATGATTACTTAAGACAAAACCCTTTCAATTACGATTAAACATAAACGTGTGCATTACGTTTCGGTGATAGGGAATTGCATTGAAAGATATTGTCAGTCGTTAACGGCATAAAATTTAATGTGTGTGGTATTGTTTATGTGTTAATTTGATAAGGTAAATTTGTTTTCAACCACTATTTGATAAATAAAGATCTATATTTCCTTTGCCATATAACTGTTTTTGTACTTTCAGCTCAGCAATAGAGGTAAATTAAGCGACAAAACCCTTTCCATATCCAATAGAAATCTCTGCATGAAGCGGTGTCGATTTTACAATTCCGACTCTATCATGAGCATATGTTTCTGAATCTCTATCAAATAGTTATGATACCAGGTGTTCGCGGAAAGGTGAGCTTATCCTGTCCCACCGCTGGCACCCGCCACAAATACATGCAAAGGCACGGGAACATATGGTACAAGTCAAATAGGGAATTGCATCGGACATCATTTTTAGCACTGATGTGTCAAATTTGGAAATGTCCTCTACGGGTCTACCATAAAACATTTTGAAAGCTTTACTGAGGAGGCCTTACATGTTGCAACCTTGATCAAACAGCTTTTGAGCAAGAGCCGTATGACGCTCTTTGAACTCTTGGTAGAAAGAGCACGCTCGATTGTATCGCAAAAGTTGCGAAATGTAAACACCAAAGGCTGGAGCTGCCGGAATAATGCTCGACATGAAGGGAAATCATCTCTCTTGCCATACAGTCTTGTGGAGATTGTTTTGTCACTCTGAATCTTTATGCGTAGATCTAAAACCTTGCCGACCTATGTATTATTTGCATTTTGCAAATGCCCGTTGTAATGGTTTCTTGTTTTACGCCACAGTACTAGTGTGCAATATTCTGGCACAAAAACATAACTGTGTATGAATATTAATTACGTGTGAACCAAATGCCTCGTGTTAAGATTTGCATCGTACAAGATCATTTCAATTTTGCATTCAGTCATTTTCCCTCCAAAAATTGTTTTTCGAGGTGACATTTGCAACAGATGAGGTCTTTAAATTGATTTTCAATATTTCTCACAGTTATAACTTTTGTTGTGGAAAGATATATTTATATTTAATTGATATTTATTTAGATTATAATGTGAACAATTTGGGTTGTTTAAATACATTTAGTGAATGTTATTTTGCTGTTTCCATTACAAAAAATATGTATTTACCAGTGCAAGGAACTGTTTTACTTGTCCTCCTGATGGCATCCACGAGCCTCTCCCTCCATCTCTGGGACTGACGCACATCAATGTATGTCAATGTTCTCACACCTTTGGGAATGTTGCAAGGCTTCACCAAGACTGGGATGATGTTTTCCCGTGTTTCCTCAACAGACATGTTGACCATTATGTCAGTCTCAAACGCACACCACTCACTCGTCACAAAGTCTGGAGTCATGATGAGAACACATTTGCGGGACCTGGCAATAAATTCCTCTATGTTTTTCACCACTGGCTTTCCTGCATGAAAGTCTCTCCTGTGGTCCACACATTTCAGTCCAATATTAGGAGACTCCAGGTACTCCCTCAGCTTATCCACAAACTCCTCATCGGCGCCGTTGAAGCAGAGAAATGCATGGTATTCCTTGTCCATGTCAAAATGCGTAGTTCAGTCTTCATTTAAACCAGGGTAACTAAAAGAACATGGGCGTACCCAATGAAGTTTCATATTATTGCATTTGTCTGTAACATGTTTGCAGTAAACATGGAAAAGAACTATTTATTTAAACATGTGACACATAGATTAAAAGAGGTTGAGTACAGTACACGAGGCAGAGGTTTTAATCCACCATGACTATTATGTGAGTATCATCCATAAACTAGGTCATTGTCCAGGGATTGCGAGGAAACAAGGTAAAATTATGCACTTGTAATGTTGATGATTTCCCATACATAACAAAAGACAATGCCGCAAGTATTTTATAAGTAACAGAAGCAATAAGTTTTCAACCAGAGATAAAAATGATTCCTAAAACAAGACCAAGAACCAACCCTGCTACCACAACATCTAAACCAACGACACCACCGAGTACAGTTCACCATTGTAACAGAAAAGAATAACCAAATACCCTTCCTAGATGCCATTGTCTCAAGAACCCCAACCAATGAAATCCAAGAGCCAACGGCAGAAACACAACAAAAACTCCAAGAACATATAGCTAAAGGTGTAGTTTATCAAATTGACTGTAACTGTGGACAATCCTATGTAGATGAAACATCTAGCCCCATTAACTCCAGAATCAAAGAGCACAAAACTACAATCATCAAATCAGACAGTAAATCAGCCATCTCCATCTTCCCGGGCAAGGAAGATAACTAACTCTATAAGTTCCGTTTCCACCCTTGCCGAACAAGGCTGCCATTTCGTAGTTATATTTCGCCTGGACTAACGAGTCTATGCATAGTCCAATCAAACTCTTTAAAGTTTGTAATCAAGTTGCTCATGCATTTTATGCATTTCGCTATTTAAAACCCGGTTTTTTACCATATAGATCTTGATCGTCGATCAGATCGTCTTGATTGGGCGCCGCCATTTTGTTTGAAGCAAAATGCAAGTAAATATGATAGGTGGGATCTGATTTGGTCAGTAGGAGGGACCAAGGACGTATGTATATAAGTCTTTGGAGGGACATAGAAGGGTAATAGCCTGGTTGCTACGACGAAGCCACGAAATTCCAGACTAAATCGGCAAGGTTGGAAACTTGACTCTTATAGTCAGTTAACTCCCTTCGGGAATAATGGCCATCTCGGACCATATCAGCAACTGCCCAAATCACAACATCAGCTGGGAAAACGTACAAATCCTCTCCAACTACCAACTTACTTGATTGCAAGAACACTGACAGAAGCAGTCCACATCCCGCCTACTATGAACTCATTAAGCAATAATCACGCCACCTATGTATACTTAATCCTGTTAATTGGCTTCAGGTAAATAGGCATCATCATCATCTGTTGTTACAGTCTTATCCTTCTGTTGTTATTATTTAACCTACACACGTTAATCTCTCTCGTGTATTCAGTTGTTGTGACTGTTAATACTCCACCTACCATATGTATTCTGTACCGTGTTCATTATTCAGCCACAAAAAAAACTAGAAAACTTCAAGGCCTTAGGCGTATTCTTAATCAAAACGGAACTAATAAAACGCATATAAAAACACAATAATCTACCAAATCAAAATCACATAAACAAACAAACATCCACCATACCCAGCTCCCTTAATTCTCCTCCCCAACCCCATCGGCATCTATTCCAAATCTCAAAATTCTCAAATTCTATATAAGCAACCCCTAAAGCCCCCTCTTGGGTTGCACAGACCACTTTCGCCCCTTGTGGAAACACATTAAATGGCCTGGCCGGGCCCGTGTGCGAAAACTACGCATCAGTCGGAAAGCGCACGTTAAATCTCCAAAGCAAGTAAGTAATTAATTATTCAGCCTCGCTTGACAAGGATCTATACCTCCACCTACCATATATATTCTGTACCGTGTTCGTTATTCAGCCTTTCTTTATAAGGATCTATACAGAAACGTCGCCATTACAGTACAAATGTTTGTAGTGAAAATGTACCACTCAAAATAAGTTAAAGACCACCCAATCATTTTTTGACTACGGTTAGTCTGTCAGGAAGTTTTGAGTAGTATATAAGTATATATGTGTTAAAATGATATCTACAAGATACCCAAAAGTTAGTTGTTTGACGCCGCAATATTCCAGCAATATGAAGGCGGTCTGTAAATAATCGAGTCTGGACCAGACAATCCAGTGATCATGAGCATCGATCTACGCAATTGCGATACAATGCATCAACCAAGTCAGCGAGCCTGACCACCCGATCCCGCTAGTTGCCTCTTACGACAAGTATAGTCGCTTCTTACGGCAAGTTTCGGTTGCTGAAGACCTAGTCTCTGCCCGGATCTTCACGGGTCACACTTGTAAGTGAATCATTCGCCACGCTATAAACATACTTCCCTTTCATAGGATGTAGTCTCAATGAAATAATGAACGAACAATTGCGCCACATGGTGAACAGTCCAGGTTGAGGGGCGGTGGGGTAGCCTAATGGTTAAAGCGTTCGCTCGTCACGCGGATGGCCCTGTACGATTCCCCACATTGGTGCGATGTGTGAACCCACTTCTGGTGTTTAGCGCCGGGATATTGCTGTAATATTGCTAAAAGCGGGGTAAAACCAAACTCACTCACTCAGTCCAGGTTTGTGACACAATATACCTTTAGTTATGCCAGTAAAACCAGTCTCAATTATCTGCCGACACACATTCCACTGGGCGTAAAAGGCAATATGGTGATTGTGATGACACCATGTGTCGCGAAAAGGCTTATCGTGGCCTGCTCTACCTCCCTAGCACCCGGCACCTGTAACGAAATATGTGTGTTGCCTCACGGCACACACAGCAATATTCCTACCATGTGACGACGACGGTATGCAAACAGTCGAGTCACTCCAGTGATCCGTATCGAGGCATATAGATTTATAACAATATGTGACCATAAAAATGAACTGATCTTGGCTTGGACTTGTTAAAAACCTTGTCAAACTGGTACACGCCACATGTTGTATGGAGCAGGAAGTGGTATAGAATGCCCTGACTTTCATATATGTCAGGGTAAACTCCGGTACTCAGTGCAGTTAATGCCACGCATGGCTTACCAGTAACACATTCACCGACAACGCTCACACATCGCTTACCTTTCATCGGCCTGTCTTTGAGAACACGTTGAGGTGCAGGTTAGGGGAAGATGTGTAGGGGAAGATCCACAAATACGTGGATAAACAGAACAGTCATGATAACACTCTGGTCCTTATACTTACAATGTAATAGAGACGCAATGACCTAGATCTAGAGCTTCTGCCCAATACATGATTACCACGCAGGGTAGACTGCATTCGTCAGTAGTATCAAATGCACTTACACATAGGACGCCTTGTGACTGCAGTCAGTGCTCTGTTATGTGAGGGCGCATCTGGGGTCAGACTTTGTTCCGGGTTAGTCAGCTAGACGCTCTCTCATGAGTGAATAATTTTCCACCCCACGATACGTACGGTCGGGGCCAGAAAGTATGCCGCGTTTGCATTACCCAAACCCTCATCGACCGCCTCCGTGGTCTTGTGGTAGAGCGTCCGCCCGGAGAGCGGAAGGTCCAGGGTTCGATCCCGGGCCGCGTCATGCAAAAAGACGTTAAAAGATTGTACTTGTTGTTACCCTGTCTGGCGCTCGGCATTAAGGGGCTAAAACAAGGACTGGTCGGCTCGGACTCAGTATACTGTGTCTGAGTGGGGTATTCATGTTAAACTGCGGCATGGTATCTCAGTGGGCTAGCACTATAAATCGGCATCAGTCCGGACTAGTACAAGCAGCCACACACACACACACACGTGCATGCACGTCGCTATATAAGTGCAATAATCTTGGACGCGACGTTAAACCCAATTTCACCTCACCAAACCCTCATCCTATTTCTGGGAATCGTGCAAGAAGCTAAACAGGTATAAGTCCCAAATACCCCCAGTTAGGTGGTCTAGCTTTGTTTGCCAGTGGTCTATAGCATGGTTTTACTTTCTATTAACTAACTGACTGAAATCGTCTTAGTTTTCATACTGCTCAGGTTTGTTTTATATCTACACTTTGATATTTACCTTACTGTTTTACTGTCCTTTGTCGACGGGAGTTTTATAATAATAAACCTGTTCTCATCGCCACATGGCTGCAATAGTGCTGATGCGATGTAAAATTACAACTCACTCACTCACTCATTCTATTTTGTTCACATTTTGTTCATATTGTGCCAGTGCGTCAAGGTCTCCCAGAGGATGTCACATCCATAGGAGGCCTACCGACACTGTATTTTCATCCGGGGTTTTCAATATATATTCCACAAATGTAGATATTCACATTCAATTTGTTCATTTATTGAAAGGCCATATGCCCAAATACACGCATGTTTCATCTTATATTTGAGTACATTACTTTTCTGGAAGGCATATATGAAAAATAACCTGACAAAGTAACCTTAGTGCTTGATAATTTGTGGTTGCCATTAGGTGAGTTAAATTGTTTGATTCAAGGCCGAATTACATATTTATTTGGTATGTATTGCTTTCGGGTGACATTAAGGATGGACATTTTGCACATGGGAAGTTTGGTGTTTTCTGAGCATATTTACAACAACCAGTATTAATCAAGTCAAACTTTCGATTAACAGTCACACCGTTAGTTCACTCATGGTAGCATCACTATTTGATAGTGATTCATAAACACATGCTCCGATACAGTCAGAATCGTACAATCGACTCTGTTTTTTAGTAGAGATTTCTTGAGGCTATGCAAAGGGTTTTGTCGAAAGAAAACAATATAAAACAATTTTTATTGACAATTTCATGTTAATTTTTTTAAAATTACATTAATTAAATTTTAAACATACAATTGTTGATTTGTTGAAGATATTTCTTTCGGTTTATAAGGAAGATAATACACTTCCCCTCAGGTGTTTGTGATATTTTATAAACCCTCGGACGTGTTTTAGTCTTCACATATAACCATACTCCGACATAGTCGGAATCGTAAAATGGATATTTTTTATGCTTACGCTTATGGAATGATTTTGTCGCTTTTATTTACGTTGAAGGTAAAACCTTTATATCGATATGCTGTGCATCCTTTGCATATACACTGACTGCAATGTTATAACCATGAACGATTTGAAAGCCGACGCACAGCCTGCATTTGAAATCATTTGAAGAAACTTGGAGCACGGGTGGCCCAGTCGTCTAAGGCGCCGCGATTCGCTGTGCAGAGTTGCGTCCCTTGGCACGCCATAAACATATGATTGTGGGTTCGAATCCCGGTTCGCCCCGATTATGTTTCTAGATTCGTCAGCACCATTCCCGTGCTCGTAGGTTTCACCGAAGTGGAAAACGTCTGAGACCTGCATCACTTCGGGTTTTCCTCCCACATTAAGCTGACAATCCACGATATAACTGGAACTGGAAAGCGGCGTTAAACCCAACTCACTCACTCACTCTGACACCACGGTACCAAACTTGCATAATCTCAATATCACATTTAACTGAAGAAAATAATTTGTTATCTGTGAACACTGACAGTTTGTTCCCTCTCTATAGTTTCCGGAACCGTGGGTGGCCCAGTCGTCTAAAGCGTCGTAATTCGCAGAGTTGCGTCCCTTGGGCATGCCTGAAATTTATGATAGTGGGTTCGAATCCCGACTCGCCCCGATTATCTTTCTAGGTTTGTCAGCACCATACCCGTACTGTTTTTTTTTAACAAAGTGGTAAACGTCTGAGGCCTGCATCCCTACGGGATTTTCTCCCTCATGCAGTTGACACGCCCTGATATAACTTGAATACATTTGAAAGCGGCGTTAAACTCAACTCACTCACTCACCCAATCATTGTGCTTTCCAATGTGTTGAGCCATGTACGGGGATATTTCCCGATCCTCAACAGTAATCAATGACATACTCGAGGGATGGACTATTTACAGATTATTCACGAAGGAACAGAAACTATGTTTTCAGGAAACGTAAAAAACATTCTGCGTTTTCGATAGGGATTGGATAGTAATGTACTAGTATATTTACACATATGTTCCGAGTAAACAGAGCCAAAAGTAGTTGCATTCTTATAGTAAAAAACAGGTTTTCTGAGGATGCATAACACATGAAAATAATGAACTGTTAGAAGTGAGATATTATCACGGTGACCAAAATCGCCTCACTAGTCTGCCATGGGGAATCGACTTAGACCCGCATGTCAGGCAGTGAATAGCAGTTGTCAGGATAGAAAAAAAAATACAAACAAGTGGCTTGTAATCTAAAACTCACAGTTTATTTATATAGGCAATCAAACAAATTAACCATGAGATAACAATAACAACAAAGATACTGACTCAAGTAGGGGTTACAACAACAGGTATGTAGGACCTGATAGATAAACACCTGAGTATGGAGCTAATTGACAAACTCACAACTAAATAGGCTGTGCTAACTAATCTCACCGGACGCTAGACAAGACAATGGATATGCTAACGTCTACGTCTGACAGGAATTCACACCTTGTGACAATGAGCCGTGAACAATTAACATATAAGCTCTTAATTGGACCAAATAGCGGGGACTTCAAAAGGACAGGGGATAATTACCTCTAAGGGATAATAGGTGGATTTAAAAGAACTACAACGCTTTAAGCGTAAATAAGGATTTTACCTAAAAATATCTTCCCAAAGTACTGTTAGATACAAATAGCTAGTTCTATACTTACAAGTACAAATAACCCTATAATAAAATGTAAGAGCAAGCAGAATAGTCTACGAACTTACAAAAAGGGTATAATAAGGGGTAAGATAAGCAAATGTGGGTATGACGAAGTTATCCAAACATTTACAGTTCAGAGAAAGTTCAAGATCTCACCAAATCCCGTCAAAGAGTCATCGGTCGATCCAGCAGTGAGACAGCAGTGAGCAGCCAGCAGCATGACCTGAGTCCGCCGAGACGCTACTGATTTCCTTAACTGACTGACTGATTTAGGAGATTTAATGTGCGCTTTCCGACTGTAGCGTATTTCGCACACGGGCCTAGCCGGGCCATTTATTGTATTCCGAAAAGGGTGAAAGTGGTGTGTGCAACCCAAGAGGGGTCTTTTAGGGGTTGCTTATATTGAATATTTAAATTTGGAATAAATGCCGAAGTGGAACTAAGGGAGCCGGGTGAGGTGGGTGTTTGTATGTTTATTGGATTTTGGATTTGTAGATTGATGAGTTTTTAGATGCGCTTAATTAGATCTGTTTTGATTAGGAATACGCCTAGGGCCTTGAAGTTTTCTAGTTTATTTTGATGGTTTAGTATTTAGATTTACTTAAGATTTGAGTCGGCCTTTAAAGGAAAGAGCCCCTAATTGACCATCACTGATTGGCCACTTAATTAATTAATTAACCAGTGGGAGATAAGCCTATTCACGTTGGCTAAAGCTCAACAACCCCGTCTTGTTAATGAGAGTGTGTTTCAAGAACACGGTCTTTTGTAATATTACTAAAATTATTTTATGAGTATATACACATATGAACTATGAGCGTATAGGTCATAAAAAGTTCTATACACTGATATAAAATATACAACAATAAATATTCAAATGAAATTGGTAGGAATAATTAAAAAGCGAATACACATGGGCAAAATATGTGTTCAGTGACACAAAATCATGAATTACATAACAGGTTGAAAAGTGACAATAAAAGCAAATACATATGAATGTAGAGAATACAATTCTCTTTCAAACTGTACAAATGCATATAATATTGACTTAGAAAATTGGAAGAGAAATGACGCTAATTAGCACAGCGTCACAATATATGGGTAAACAATAATTCATATACACTGAATTGTTTCTCTTTCAAACTGTACAAATACATATAATATTGACTTAGAAAAATGGAAGATAAATGACGCTTATTAGCACAGCGTCACAATATATGGGTAAACAATAATTCATATACAGAAAAACAACAGCAACTACAAGTTTATATTTCGCCCAGGTTCTGTCCGAGGGAGGAATTATCCAATTTACCACTGGCGTCTATGTCATATTTATTTTTTGTGTATCAGCATTGAATTGTTTTCATTGTAATCAAAGCACGTCTACAATTGTAAATTTTTACAACACCTATTCTTCAAATGTTTTTTTCAAAGAAAAACATAACTGATACAATTCGTTCAGACAATTTCAATAAAATTTCAAAACGTTAATCTTTTTACTCAATACTTTTTCTAATGTTCTGCAATATCTCAGGGGATATTTTCGTATCCTCGCCAGTGATCAATGACAGTCTCACTGATCCAGCATGGCCACCATACACAGCGAACTGAGGAGTGAACTCCTCCACGTCCCCGATCTCTTCCACACGGGTTATCTCCTCTTTCTTTGTGACGTCATAAACGGTCAGCCTCTGTCTGATGGTGTCAAGGAGGAAACCTAGTGCAATGGCCGGCCACTTCCCAAGTCGGTTCTTTGTAAGGACTTTGTGATATACCATAGATGTGTACTTAGTTACATACAGACACACAGCCTCATGGTCTGCACATGCACGTGCAGCTATACTCATGGCTGTAGGAAGTTGATCTCCAACCTGACTTTCATCAAACACGCCATTTGTGGACAGAGCAACGGTAAACACAAAGTTCTTTTTGCTCAATTCATTCTCCAGATCGACGTCCAGTTTATTCTCCCAGTAGTATACACAACCTGCCGTCAAAGTCGTCGTTCCTACAGCTCCCATAAATTTCTTGAGTCTCCCGTCGGGGTTGGTGATAGGTTCCGTTGGTTCGCGGTTTAACAGGCTTCCGTCAGGCAGGATACTGCGACGTCCATACACCGTCTTCTCATCATACTTGATGTCACGGCCTGAATGTGCAAACAACGATATTAGTGCATATACTCCCTCGCCATTACTGCTTTCAGTTTGACATTTTTTAATTTAGGTGTTTCGTTCACCGAGGGTTTTAATGAGGAATTTGGTTTCTGACCATTATTGAGCGCACATTACTGACTCAAATTGTAAGAGTCTGTTTGTTCATACAATTAACATCACCACACAGACACACAAAGGAATTTTACCAATAAAAATATCTGCGTTACTTTATAGGAAGAGGTAGAACCAGTGTCGCGCGGGCACAACTCTCGCACGTATACTTTCATAAGCGTATGGCAATGTGCGCCTGTTGTAGAGAAGGGACATGTTTGATCGTCAGCATCCAGGATCAAAATTCATTATTCGACTGAAACCTGTGCGGCCTAATAATTCCACGAACATGTTCAAAACGAATGTGGAAGTACTGCCTCAATATTGTACTTGCACGAGGTAATAAATAAGTTTCTTTCTTTTGTTAAAAGTGCCATTGACTAGGCGTTAAATAGCGGCACTCCTTAGACGTGGCGATGTTTATTTATGACGTGACAGTTGGAAATTGACGTTGTAACGGTGTGACGCTGCAATGTTATGCAATGCCATCGGCAAACTGTAGAATCACCTTCAGCTGAAGCCAGTTGTTTTCCCACGTAGCAACAAGCACCAATACAAGACTGTGGAACCGTTATCAGACACGTAGTCATGCTTGTACTTACATCGAATGACATTCCATGGAGTGGGATCCGTTGTTTCAGGCAGTATGTCCAAGGAAGGACGTATTTCTGTAACAAACAAAGTTGTGAACATGTTACATCCCGCCTCCGTATGGGAATACTCTCCATGGATCATTCTATCTTAAACTACCAGGCATACCTCACTCAACCTTTAGCGTCAGTTACAGAATCTGATATCAAACCTTTCAGAAAGTTGTCCCTGTCCCGCTGTGATCTGAGCTGTGAGATGTCCATCTCTCTCAGATGTCCCACGTCAAACTTAGACATCTCATCTGTCAAAATCTGCACCGGGCTGTCAGACTTCACAAACTCGAGGAAGGACCGTTGTTTTAGTTTCTGTTCGTGATTCTCATACTCATCCAGAAGATCCGCAAGTCTTTTAATACCGTGAACGTCATCTTTTAAATCTTTCTCCATCAACTTCAATATGTCTTCTGCAGCCTTCATCTTTTGGACGAGAGGCGTCTGACGTGTATCCATTAGTCTTTGAATCTCATCCATCTTCTCCTCTTTCTGACGTTCTAACGTAGCTGATATCTGTTTAGAGACAGCATCAAATGCAATCCGGACACTGCTTTCAAGGGCCCTTTTCTCCAGCTCAAATTTTCCTTTATCTTGCTTATACTTCTGGACACATGTCTTGAAGACGTCTTTCTTGTCTCCTGCCCTTTGTACAACCCCTTTCATGTCACGGTTCTGTAATGGTTGAGTTAGTTAATTTAACAATTTGCAGAATGTCATCACAAATTGATTATTAATCATCATTTCCTATTAAGTATTTAGAAAAACTGGTTTCATGTCGACATATGTTTGAGTATAGACTTACCTTGTGTTTGCTGCCTTTCAAATCTGAAACAATAATAGTGTTTATTTGTGTAAGCAGGGATTAAAAATATGTTTTGCGCTGTACCAATATTGAAGTATTTCGTTTTCTCACAGTTTCATTAATTCCTGACCATGCACCGGCATTAGTCTTAGGTGAAAAATATGTAAGTCCCATTCTCACTCATAACCAGAAACACTTCACTTTATCAGTGTGTTCCGCTAACTTATCTCCAGTGGTATGTGGGACGATAAATGTATACATACATGCTGTTCATTAAACATTGCCCCGCCGTGGTATTGCTGGAATATTGCTAAAAGCGGCGTAAAACCAAACTTACTCACTCACTCATTAAAACATTAAGTATATGCCTTTCAAGGCAGATTAGAAATAATTATAAGAAAGTTCAATTCATTTTGTTGAAAACCAATAAAGTTTGACATTTAAGTTGCATTTGAAACATAAATGACAAAAAAATGTCCGATGCAATTCCCTATTTTGATCTGAACCATATATTCCCATGATTTTTCAAGTGAACACGTCACTTTGCATGTGTTAGTTAGGGGAGCCACCAGTGGGTCAGGATACGCTCACCTTTTCGCGAACACCTAGTATCATCACTATATGGCAGTGATTCATAAAGACCTACACATTATATAGTCGGAATCGTACAATGGAGTTTGCTTTCAGCAGAGATTTCTTAAGAATTTGGAAAAGGTTTTGTCTTTTTGAAATAATTATAAATCCCGAGAAATGCATGTACAATGTAAACATGCTACATGGTCTAATTGCATTTCTTCACTATCGTAACATATTATATAAATCAAAAGTGATGACAAGAATTAAAATACTTTTCTTCATCTGAAACTAGAAGCTTCTTATAAATAATGTAACACACACACATGTTCGTTTCTGTGCCTTTGCTTTTCAAAAATACTTTTCCCATGGTTATGACCTAATCGGAATCATACAATGGACTTCAAGCAGAGATTTGTTTATAATACGATTATGAAATGGATCTGTTGCTTTTATTTACCTGTTCTTTTGATGGAATCCACGAGCCTCTCCCTCCATCTGTACCGAGAATCTTCTGTAGGAGGGACCTCAATGTAGGTCAGTGTACTCAGTGATTGGGGGATCTTGCAGGGTGTGAGTAGTACAGGAATAATGTTATCACTCTTTTGTTCCACCGACATCGTCACCATCACCTCAGTCTCCCACTTGCACCACCCACTCTCTACAAAGTTGGGTGACATGATGAGCACGTGTTTCGAGGCCTTCTCAATAAATTCATCAACATTTCCCACTATAGTTTGGCCACCGCGAAAGTCCCTCCTGTGGTCCACACATTTTAGTCCGATTTCAGGAGACTCCAGATGCTTCAGTAAATCATCAACAAACTTCTCATCAGTGCTGTTAAAGGAAATAAAGGCGTCATACTCCTTACTATGAGGTGGGGCAGTAGAGTCTTCATCAACGTCTGTAGTCGAGTCTGCCGACGCCATGTTGGAGGTCACACCTGAAGGTCAAATGAAAAGGCATCACACTGGGAAGTCTCCATCCTAATAAGATAGTGAGCGATTGATGTGGGATGAAAGCCCGAAGTGATGCATGTCTCAGACGTTTACAATTTTGGTGAAACCCATGAGCACTGGTATGGTGCTGACAAAACTAGAAACATAATCGGGGCAAACCGGGATTCGAACGCACAATCATAGGTTTCTGGCGTGCCCATGGGACGCCTTAGACGACTGTGCCACCCGTGCGAATCTGAATCTGACTGAGGATTGGACAAAGACCATGGACGGCCAGCCCTACCTTCTATTCAGCGACGGGGAAGACAATAAAATTCTAGCGATCTCAACACAACACAACAAGAGGGCTGACCGCGCGAAGATGGCCAAGATGGATTTCGGCGCAGCCCCACCCAACCGCAAGAGATTCTATACAGAGAGTCTGAAAACCGTCTAAGGAGATTAAAAGATCAGCTTCACCAGGGACTCAAGACCCCACTCCAGTTCCTGGGTGCTGCAGGCTTCTATGCAGGATTGGAGTAAGACAGAGACAATTCAAACATACAGTGCTATCGATATTGTACTAAACAAAGACAATTTAAACATACAGTGCTATTGCTATTGTGCTAAACAAAGACAATTTAGACATACAGTGCTATCGATATAGTGCTAAACAAAGACAACTTAGACATACAGTGCTATTGAAATAGTGCTAAACAAAGATTGATATACATTGTTAATGTTTCTACCAGTGTTAATAAAGGATTTGTATATATTTATATCTTTATTTTTCTACATTATCTTTTATTCCTTGTAAATAAGTTCACTCATATTGATCACTTTTCGAATGGATCACTCCATCCTAATAATTAGGTAAAATAGGGTAGACCAATCAGTGCATTCAGCCCTGACCTATGTTGTTTTAAGGTGTATGACAAATTGGACGTATGAATAATGGGAGGTTACCTACATAAGTATTTTTCTAGCATAATCACCTGTGGCGTGGTGCTCATACTGTTACGGAAAGAGGCGAGCAGAAACGAATGCATACAGCGCTTTCGTCACCACTCGCCCCTTTCCGTAACCGGGAATAACACGAGCTGGTCACGAATGCATACAGCGGTGAAATAAGGGGATTCCCCAGTGAAAGCGAAAGCCAGGGGAATCATTACCGAGGACTCACAATAGGGAATATTGACCCAGGGGTCTATTTGTCATAGCTTCTCATGTTTGATCATACTACATTTTAGCACCATACTAGTGCTTTGAGACTGACTAGTGTTTTGAAATACTGGCACTAATACAATTACATTCAGTGTTATTGCCTTACGGCACGGCCGGAAGTCATCCATTACGAGTGGCGACATGGGAGACCGCATGCATGTAATGAACGTTAACTGCCAAGTTTTGACGTTGCTGATTACAGACTGTGTTGTTTGAAAATGCTTACACTGTTATGAACCTCGAAGAGAAGGCACACCTCCCGCAGACAAGCGTCACAGTCACTTTTTCCAAGCGCGTTGACATCAGCGCGGGACACAGCGCTGTATGACTGGGGGAATATGATTGAATCTAAAAATAGCACACACTTGACATCAGGAGATCGACAGATGCAGTACTGCAGCGAACAAGCTTAAATGAATTGCAATGTTGCCTCGCATTATAGCTGTGGTCGTAACTCGTTTCTGTGTGTGTGTGTGTGTAGGTGTGTAGGTGTGTGTGAGTGTAGGTGGAAGAGTGTGTGTGTGGATGGGTGGATGGGGGTGTGTACGTGTGTGGTGGGGTGTGTGTGTTTGTGGGTGTACCACCTTCCAACGTCTTTTACAGTGACGCGGCCGGTGATCGAACTACCGACCGTCCGCTCTCTAGGCCGACACTCTTTCCCCTTGATCACGGAGAATAAACGTGTTATACCAACATTATGTCATGGTAGTAGTTGAAAATATAGGGGATTGAGTTTTGCCTTGCGCCTTGCGGTCACTGAAGCGGAAACAATTGAAATCACTGAACCAGAAACAATAGAAATCCGTGTAGGAGTTCGAGAATCACTGAAGCGGTAAAAGAAGCAATTACTGAATGGCATTCAGTGATGACATGAGATACACTTCAGTGATAAAATCATTGACACAGTTACAGTACACTTCACCAGTAGCAATAATAGATGACTAGGTCAGTGGAACAGGACACTTGACAGTTCGCTGGGCACAAGGTATTGGTTACTGACTATGATCTTAGGTCATTTTGAGTGCAGTTAAAGAAAAACTCTACCACACACTGTTTATGACTGAGACATCAAATCCAGCTGGCTTGATAAACCTCACCCAATATTGGTTACTGACTATGAACTTGGAACAATTTTTTTGTGTGTCTACATAACTCTTTTCACATACTGTTATGACTGGGACACAGAATCCAACTGGGTTGATAAAACTCTCAGTGCTCACTGAAGTCACTAGTTCATACTTGATGAAAAAACCATGAAGGAAGGAAAGGAGAATTTTGTTTCTTTTCTTTTCTGTTTTAATTTTGAAATGAAAAAAATATTAAAAAAACATAATGCTTTATGCATTTGTTTCTCCTTTCCTTCCTTTAAATAAAAACCCAACAACAATAACTGTTACATCTAAAAGATTTATTAATGATAATTAGTTAACTTTATTTTTATTACACCATGGATGTGGCCTTGTGTGGACTGTTACATCATGAGTGTGGACTGTGCCAGGGAGGGAGTTTGTCTCAAGGTAGAAGGGAGGGTGGCCTGTGATACCTCAGGTGGAGTGTGTACATCTTCACAGAAACGACATGAAACACACACACACGTTGTAACACAGACACACACACGTTGTAACACACACACACGTTGTAACACACACACGTTGTAACACACACACACACGTTGTAACACACACACACACACACGATATAACACACACAAACACACACACACAAAACAAACACACACACACATCCACATTATTACAGAGAAGTAATACAGCTGCCTACCTTGATAGTAGAAGACTGGAACAATGAGACACACAGAAAACACCACAACGACGGCAGCCTGTCACGTTGCACATTCGTGTGACTAATACATGAATATATATATTGGGTGTCTTTACCAAATACGATAGAGCTGTTGGTGTATGTTAACTATCTCAAGTTGAATGATAACAAAATCAAGTTACCCACAATAGGATCAAGACAACTACCCCTGAAGATTCTATCTGGCTGTTCTATCAAATTTGTAAACGGTGATGTCAAAGTCTCTGCTGCAGCGTGAAACTTTTCTTTCCTTCAAAATTGTCACTAGGAATATGTCAACTATCTCTGCAAATCATGTTTCTTTCCACCAAGATTTCAAAGTGATTTCAAAGAACGCCGTACGACTCTTGTTCAAAAGTTGCTTGATCAAACTTAAATCGGTCGCCAGCAAAGCTTTCACAACCGTTTTACGGTAAAAATGCGGAGGACATTTCAAAATTTGTTGCATCAAAGAAAATAATCATGTCAGATCAGTTCCCTTTTTTAACTTGTTGCAAATGTTCCGGTTTTTTCAGGTGAACAATTGACTTGACATTCTATTCTTTACAAACATTTGATTTTTCAACTTTGTACACCACTATCCCACGTGACATACTTTAGTCCTTGATTCAATGGTCTTTTGTTACAAAAATGATGAACACTGATACAGTTACGTACCCATATTCAGAGGTTCAGGTAAATTTTTCAAAATTGAAAGCAAAGGCTATCTGAAGATTACTGAGGAAACAATATGTGAAATGCTGGACTTGATAACATTAATGTAAAATTTTGGGGTAAGGTATTTTGGCAAGAAGGCGGAATCCCCATGGGCACCAATTGTGTTCACATTCTTGTGGATCTGTTTTTGTATGCATATGAATCGGAATGTCTACACGGATTGGCAAAGTCAAAACATGTTAATTTGGCCAAGAAGTTTAACTTAAGCTTCAGGTACATTGGTGATCTGATATCGTTCAATAACCATCCAATAGCCAATTCCCTTCCACTGATTAACCTATCTGAACTAGAAATATAGGAGGCCAGTGTGTGTCCGCCTCATTTGTTTCAGATTTAGATTTATGCATAACGATTCAGATTCTCCACAAGACTGTATGACAAAGGGATGACTTCAACTTTCCAATAGTCAACTTCCCCTTCATGTCGAACAATATTCCAGCAGCTCCAGCCTTCGGTGTTTACGTTTTACAACTCTTGAGATACAATCGGGCATGCTCTTCCTACCAAGATGTCAAAGGGCGACTCTTGCTCAGAATTTGTTTGATTAAAGTTACAACATTCAAGTCCCCAGTAAAGCTTTCAAAACGTTTTTTGGGGAGACATGTGAAGGACATTTCCAAATTCGACGTAAAGTGACAAAAATGATGTCCGATGCAGTTTCCTATTTCGACTTGTACCATGTGTTCTTATGCTTTTTTTTTAGATGAACAATTGACTTGCCTCTACATGTGTTTGTGACGGGTGGCACCGTTGGGGCTGGGGCACCTTTCACGAACACCTGGTATCATTTCTATTTGATAGTGATTCATAAACACATGTTCATGATATACTGGGGATCCTACAATCGACAGAGATTTCCATTGAATATGGAAAGGGTTTTGTCATTTATATTTATTGATTGTGCATGTGTTTGTGGCTTATGCCAGAGGTCAGGCAGGATATGCTCATCTTATCGCGAACATCTGGCATGACGAATATTTATAAGTGATTCATGAACACATGTTCATGGTATAGTCGGAATCGTACAGTCGCTTTTGGCCAAGATTTCTTATAAATATGGTATTGCTTATATTTTTCTTCACTTTTACACCAGCAGCAAAATCCTGGGCAATCAGACAGCCAAGTTTCTCATACAAACACTCGTATGTCAAAATTACTACAATTCATATTTTTTTAAATCTCTGAATTACTACATTGCAGAAAATTCAAAACTCAGTAACTCATATTGTCTCCCAAACTCGTCAAACAGGGGCTGTGCCGATTTGATATTGACACTCATTTCTGTATCGTCCAGCAGAACAGAACACTCAACAAATTATTATTTTTATCATTAATTTGATTACTATTGTAAACATTTGGATGTGCATTAATTAGTTTCTAGCTGCTCCAGGGAATTAATGCATGTTAAACACTAAATGTTGAGTAGAGCGTGATATTCACTGGAGCGGCGCTATCGTGTTATTCGGTAAACAAATCCATTGTATGTTTAAATATGTATTAGTCAAACGAACGTGTGCGACACGACAGGCTGGGGTCGCTGTGGACATAAATGTGTGTCTCCGTGTTCCCCTCTTCCTGGCTGATTTCTTAAGTATTTATGGTACACAGTGACTGGTTCTTGATGTGTGAACGATTATTAACATTGTAACAAAATACGCTTTTTGAGATGGAAATAAAATCAACAAAACTATTGCATTCGCCGGCTGTCCACGAGAGATTATCCGCTCTGAGGTCCGCGCGTAGTATATATATACTTCAGTCAGGATCTTGAGTCTCTACCCCAAGGCTTTGTTAAATCGCTTACGATGGTCTGGCTACGTGTAGATAGGTATACCCTGTCGTCGTGTTTGCGAAGCAATTTTGAATAATTCTTCAGTCCAGCGTAGGTTGTGTTCTTTACTAAAGGTTCTTCTCAAATAACTTACACGTACAATATCACCCACCTTATACTCAAATTTATGGAAAGGCTTCTTGCTTTTTACATGTATCAGCATGGATCTAACGTACAAGTGCTTCCACACTTTGAGTTCATTTGTCTTGGTCACATCAGCAGGGGCCCAATGTCCGAGGCTTCTATGTTGACTATGATTATAGGTATACACTAAATCTTGTAACACATCAATATATTTTTCAGAGTTGTTGTGTGTCATATATCTAGACATGAGCGTTCTCAACGTCCTAATGACTCTCTCGGCATAATTAGCCTTTATATCTTCGTTTTGAGTCACAATCAGCTTTATGTTTTGATTAGACACATACATTCTAAACTCTCCAGAAAATTCCTTGCCCTTGTCAACGCGATTTTTTATCGGAAAACGACCTTCTTTGAAGATTGTTCTCAACCCCTTGGTGACCGTCATAGTCTTTTTATTCAGTAATGGGACAACCCACAAATACCTAGAGAGGATATCAATAACGATTAGTAAATATCGTATTTCATCATTTTTCTTAGCATAACGACTCACATCTGCCAAGTCAATATCCCACATTTCATCTCGGTTGTTCACCCGAACTCTCAAACGTGGAAACCTATATTTCACCGGCTTATGCAGCGAATAAGCATCTTTGTCATTCAAAAATTGTCTTATTTTCTTGACTTTATACTTGCTGTTTCCCTGTTTCTGCAATGCTTGTTTGAATTTTATTGGACCATAGAATGCACCCGGATTACGAGGGTTAAAATAATAATTTTCTAATGCCTTTTCCGTAAAGGAATGTGCTGTGTCTGTAGCCATGATTCAACTGCGAGAGAGCGATATTCGTCTCCGCATAAATACATGTTAAGATAAACTAACGATATCTAAG